TAAATGTCCTAGAAGAAGGGCTTCGGGCAGACCAGGCACCTGTTCAAAGCTGCCAGCAGCCCGGTCGCTTTAGATTCACCCGAGAAGCATCGATACATCCTAAACCCTAAACCCTTGGCCCTAAACCCTAAACCCTAAACCCTAAACCCTAAACCGTATGTAGCGGCCTCATGACTTAGAACGGGGTTTGGGGGTGTTTTAGATCATAATGAGAATGAGGAACCCTACAGGAACACGGAACACTGCTGGTAATGATTTATGCCCCTATATTACCCTAAACCACCCAAACTCACACTTAAACTCCTCAAGACGAAGCCCTAAGCCCTAAACCCCTAAACCCATAAACCCCTAACCCCTGAACCCCTAAAGCCCCAAAGCCCTAAGCCCTAAACCCTAAACCCTAAAACCCCAACCCTAAACCCTACACCCTAAACCCTAGCAGCTGCGGTGCAGGTAAGTCACAAATACCAAGTCCTGCGACTTCAGCGCTGGTGTGAGCCTCGTCCCTTATACAAAGGATGTGGAGTTTTGGAGCTCAAGAGTTTAAGAGTTTAAGAGTTTAGGGTTTAGAGTTTAAGGGTTCATGGTTCAGGGTTTAGGGTTTTAGGGTTTAGGGTTTAGGGTTTAGGGTTTAGGGTTTAAGGGTTTAGGGTTTAGGGTTTAGGGTTTAAGGGTTCACGGTTTAGGGTTTAGGGTGTAGGGTTTCGGGAGTTCAGGGCCAGTTTTTGTTCAAGGTCCAAAAGGCTTCTTGCATGAAGGTTTAGGGTTCTCTCGGTCTCCTGGACCTCTTGTTCAACACCGTCAAACCAGGGTGTAAAGTCTTTCGGGCCTCTCGAGTTTAGGACTGTAGCATGTAGGTTGTAAGATGGAACGTGCAAACTCCCAATGCTCTAAACTCTAAACCCTAAACCCTAACCCGTAAACCCTAAACCCTGAACCTAAATCCTAAACCCTAAACCCTAACGCTAAACCCTAACCACGAAAACTCCGGAGGGTTGTTCAAAAAGGGCCTCGGCGCCAGTTCCACACAGCACCAAGGCCGCAAAGCTTCTTCAAAAAGCCGCGGCACCCTAGAAACATCCTCCAAATCCTGGTGGAGGGGCCGAAATAACTTACAGGGATTAGGGGTTTAGGGTTTAGGGTTTAGGGTTTAGGGTTTAGGGTTTAGGGTTTAGGGTTTAGGGTTTAGGGTTTAGGGTTTACGTGTTTGGGATAATGTGAGGGCCGAAATAGATTACCAATACTATTTTTGGGGGTTCCTTATTGTGGTTACAGAATAATGGTCCCTAAAACCTTTGTTCTAATTATTATGAAGGCCCCTATGGTAATCCCTAAACCCTCAACCCAAAGGCCAAGCCCCCAAAAAGGTCGCCAAAAAAGTTCGAAAGCTTCACAGCTCTGAGTGTCTCAAACCCTCCCAAACTGAAACGCTCTCAACCCAGAAGACCGGTTGCCTTGAACCATGAGCCCTAACGCCCGCAAGTCCGTGGAGATTGCGCTTACATCAACTTACAAGAGGGAACCATGAAAACCCACACCCGAAACCCTAAACCCT